AAAAAAAAAAAATAAATAAAAATAAAAAAAAAAGAATAAGACAACATATGTAAAGAGCCTGGCACATAGCAAGTACTCAATAAATGTTATCTTTTATTATTATCTGCTCCACCCAAACCTGTTCCTCCTCTTGTATCTGTGGATAGCATCACCACCTGGATACTCAAACTGGAATTTTGAGTATGATCCTTACCAACTCCTTACCATTTTCCCTTGTTGCCAACTCTCACCTCCCCCACTCCCTGCATTGAACCAGTCACAAACTCCTGTAAATTCTGTTTCTTTAACATTTCTGAAATCCTGGGGCAGCTGGCTGGCTCAGTTGGTGGAACATGCAACTCTTGATTTCAAGATTGTAAGTTTGAGCCCCATTTTGGGCATAAAGTTTACTTAAAAATAAAATCTTTAAAAAAGTTTTTAATTACAGTCCTAAAATCCTTGTTACTTGAAGTATGGTATCCAAACGAGCAGTGTCAGCATTGTGTGGGAGTTTGTTAGGAATGTGGCATCTCAGGCCCTCACCCAGACATACTGAATCCAGATCTGTATTTTAACAGGATCCCCAGGTGGTTTGTGTGCATATTAAACTTTGAAAAGCACTATTTATTTTTTATTGAGGTATAATCAACATATGACATTACATTACTTTCAGATGTACAATATAATGATTCAATATGTGTAAATATTGTGAAATGATCACCATAAGTCTAGCTAGCATCCGCCAATCACACAGAGTTACACAGTTTTGAAAAGCACTGTTTTAAACATATCTACTTCATCCCCACTGCCATTCTGCTACTGATCAACTCTCTCACCTAGAGGACCGCAGTAACCTTAATCCTTCTGCTTTCAGTGTGGCCCATCTCCAGTTGCTTCTCCTTGTACCCAGATCAATCTTCCCATAACAAATTTGACCATGTCTTTTCCCTTCTTAAAGCAATTCAGGGGCTCCCTATGACACTCTCTTGTCTTCTATTCATACCACATACCTATCTCTCGCCCTGTGACATGTTCTCTCTTCACTCTTCCAGCATTGGTGGACATTTTAAAGCCACCACACTATCATGGCCACTAATTTTTTCCAGAGAACTTCTCTTGCTTGGTTCCATGGGTGCTAAATAACCTTATGATTAGAGTTTGGCTTCACTTGTGGTTTTCAGCAGGGAAAGTTCACTAACCAGAGGACAGCCCTGTTTAGGTCCTTTGGCAATTACTATTTATCCTAAGATGGGAATTACATATACATCAGTCTCTGCTGAGTCAAGTTAGCATGAGTCAGGCCCAAAGGGAACAACCATCTAGCTACACTGACAGCAACAAATATTTGGAAACACAAAGCAGAGAACTAGGTTCTGGAACACTATGAGACCATGTGAAACCACTATCTAAGCATAAAACCCTGCTTAGATGGGCAACTGGCCACCTGGATGTCTTCCTTATTATCCTTCTAGAGTGGTGACAGTTCATAGATCTGTAAAATCTTCGAAAACAATGGACATCTTCTGTTTTTGCCTGCCCATCATTAAGTTCTCCTTCTGTAAGCAATAACCCCATTTTTCTTTGGCAAACTGACTGTTGTATGTTCTTAAGTGGTTTGGAGCACTGGCCCCACCCCCATGTCATAAGTAAGCATGTGACCCAGTCAGTGTCACAGACACTGGTTCAAAGGATGGGCATGTTACCTGATACAGGCCAATGAAACTTGGCCCAGACTTTTATAGGAACAATCAGAAAAAGAGT